TAGTGGCCCGCTAACGGTATAGTCTCAGATTTCGCATTGCCCGTTCGCTTTACTATTACCCATATTAATATTAATATTAATATATATATATGTAATAGTTACGAAATCTTCCTTCCCTCTTTTCTCGAAAACTGTTGCTTTAGTAAATAAAGTAGCAATAATGAAAAAAAGTCGTTTATGAATAGAACGTTATTAACATTAGTATGGCCATGCCAGCGTCTAGTTGCAACGAAGAAACTATGCACATTGTGGGAAGAAACTATAATACTATTATATTTGCCGGGTGAAATTTTGTCAACAGATTGTTTTAAAACGAACGTCTATTTCATTGCAAACGCAAAATTGTTCGACAAAGTAAGTCGGGAGGTAAAATTTTTATTATAACCATGTCAGGTGTTCGATTGTGACATTCTATACCTTCATTATGCAGAAAAATTCTACCCCCTATTTTACATATGTGTGATTATATGTGTCTTCGGAAATGATTGACAGAAAATTTCGGAAAACACACTTGCCTATCGAATTTTGTGAAATGTTTGGTGACTAAGCTTTTCATTGCTTAGGTTTACATCAGTTTCTTTTCTTTTAATGATGTTTACTTTATCCTCGAGTGATAAATTCTTCCTTTGCTTTCTTTGTCTATCTGTGTTACTGGTATTCGCAGAACTAGCCATCTTAAAGTGCAGAGGGTTTGTGGTAATAACTGTAGTTAATAGATCTGACAGTTGGTTTAATAGACCTTCTCTCTTATATAGTTATTTTATGGCCTGATTTATGGCCTGATTTGTGGCCTGATTTATGGCCTGATTTGTGGCCTGATTTATGTGGCCTGAATTTATGGCCTGATTCATGTGGCCTGAATTTATTAAAAGTGGCATGATATTTCAATTAGTAGTACGAAATACAGCAAATGATTGATAAACCTGGCACAGAGTATATAAATAGAAATGGCATGATATTTTGTGTAATATAGGGGATATAATCGAGGCACAATCATAATAGATTATTATAGGCATGGGAAATTGGGACCACATGATTTTGGGGATAGGGATATATCTGAGTGGGATACAAATGAGGTAGATTTATACTGATATACAAAAAGGGAAATCTGTCCAGCTGAAAAGCTGGGATATAGTCGAGGTTGGGATACAATAGGGGGGATACAAATGAGGTAGGACTGTATATGGCTTTTTCTTCAGGACTTGACTTTATATCCTCTTTTTGTAATGACTCAGTGTCAGTGGTACAGATGGCAAATAAGGCTTTGGTATTCGATGTTTGTGTTAATCGCTGTTGAGAAGTAAATACAGGTGAACACTCAGAGCTAACAGATGCATTTTGTGAAGCTGCTTTGACATGGATTACACATGATCCATATTGGAAGGTGAGGGTATTGCTTCTCCAATTGATGTTGGGGTTTGCATGATACAACCAAGGTTTTCCCAATATGACATCATATTGCTGCAGATCTATCACTTGGGCATTAATTCTGAATGTATGGTATTTACTTAATTCTAATTTCTGTATGTTGACCTGGTTGTCAACCTCTTTCTTTCGTCAATTGGCTAGCTCGACAGTTACTTTCGCAGTCGGGGTTTGGGATAAGCAATGTCTTTGTACAAAATTTTTGCTAATGAAATTTCGTGATGCACCACTATTGAGGAGAATCCAAGTGGAATTTCCGTTTATCTTCCCATTGAACTGTAATAATTCTTCTTTATTTTCTTCAAGCTGAACAAATTTAGCAGTAGGTAGTAATGTATGTTGTTCTTCAAGTCCATCAGTCTTAACAGGCTGTTTACTTCAACAGGCTTTAGCGAAATGACCTGGCTTTCTGCAATTATAACAGAGTTCTCTTTTTTTATCTTCAGAAGACCTTTTATTATTATGCAATTGTTTCTCTACCTGGTCTAGTTCCATTGGAGTCAGTTGATCAGTATTTGGTGATAATGGTCGACAGTGTTGATGTTGTTGCGATGGCATATTGTTATTATTATAATGTTGGGTTGTTGGTTTTCCCACTCCATACATAGCAATATCATATCAAACAGCAAGTGTCCAAGCAGTTTCAAAATCAGTAGGAGCTTGGTAGCTCACTTCCATTCAGGTGGCAGGTTTAAGGCCATCAATAAAGTACGCGACCTGGTCAAGGTCTCCCATCCCTTCTATTTGTCCCAGTAAATTTTGAAACTGCATACCATACTCCTGTACAGATCCTGTTTGTCGCAGTTTCTTGAGTTGCTGACGGAGGTATTGTTGGTGATCGGGGGGTTGGAATGCAGTTCGGAGTGCATTAGCAAAGGTGGCCCAGCTTTAGTGTGTGTGTGATGTGTACTATCAATAACGTGCCTGCTGCTACCAAGTTGTAAAAGACTTCGAAATAATGTTAGTAATCTCAAAGTCAGTGGACGGTTTATTAGACGTTCAGCTAAAAAGTCAT